TAAATTCTATTAATTATTTTCGTTGCTACTATTGCAAAACTTATTTAATTTATATATGAGAAATTTGCGAAGTTTACAAGCTTCATTGTTTTCAAGGGCGTGAAAGAGATGGCGCTCGCAGAAAGTGATTCGCTTGAAAGTTTACTGTAAGAGAGGGTCGCATCAAATCGAACAAAAATTGAATTGTTTTCCAGTTGAAGGCGCCCGTTTGAATGGTTTAGAAAATCAGCCTCACGCATTTGTTACATTTGGTGCAACGGTAAGATTCTTTCTTTTTATCAGCTTTTATTTCCTTTCAAATGTACTCTTTGAAAGACCTTTTTTCGAATATCAAAAAGAATTATCCTAGATTCGGAACCCAAAACTGTCACTTTCTGTATTTTGTTTCCAAAACTGATTTTCAGGGTGATTTAGCAAAAAAGAAAATCTATCCCTCTCTATGGTCGTTGTTCCGTGATAATTTGTTGCCAAATGGAACCATGTTCTTGGGATGTGATCGCAATAAATTAACATCATCTGAATTTCGCGCTAAATACGAACCATATATGCAGGTCAACTCCAGTGAACGAGCTCGATACGAAGAATTTTGGCGATTGAGTCATTATTTGGCTGGAAACTATAGCTCTCACGATGACTTTAAATTATTGAACGACGAAATTAACAAATTGACAAAAGGAACTAATGCAAATAGACTTTTCTATTTGTCAATTCCACCCACCGCATTCGCCTCGATTACCGAATTGATCAAAGCTAATTGCATGGCTAAAAAGTGAGTATAAAAATCAACGTTGGTTTAGCGATTTCAATGATCATTTGTCTAGATTTGGTGTAAAAATTTCTTTTTTTCTCTCACCCTTCAACCAGCGGCTGGAATCGTGTAATAATTGAAAAACCATTTGGTAAAGATACCGAGTCATCGAAAAAATTGAGTGATCATTTGGCAAAGTTGTTTGTTGAAGAGCAAATCTACCGCATGGATCATTATTTGGGACAAGAAATGGTGCAAAATTTGTTGACCTTTCGATTTTCCAATAAAATCTTCAGTCCAACGTGGAATCGAGACAACATTGCTGCCGTTATGATCACATTTAAAGAGCCATTCGGTGTTGTTGG